ATCTTTAAAAAAAAAAAAAAAATGCAAATAGCAGGTGACTTACAAAGGATAGAAATCAGAATGGTTCCAAACTTCTAAACACTGAAAACTGGAAGTCAATGGAGCATGCCTTCAAACTAAGTGAAAATTATTTTCAAATTATTCAAGAATCCTATTCATAGCCCAACTAAGTGAGAAAGTAGAATAAACCTTCAGACATATGAAGTCTTGAGTAATTTTATCACCTATGCACCTTCTTGTAGTAAATGAGTGGAAGATGTGCTTCTCCAAAACAAGATAAATAAAAAAGACAATGGCATGGACTCCAGACAGGGAATCTACACCAGGAAAAGGGGTAAAAGATTCACAGGACAATGGCAAAAGGAAGTGCCAGGCTGACAGCTGTACAGCACATAAAGACGTATGAAGCCACTAGTCTCGATTAAAGCAGGAAGCATGAGCTCCAGGAAGTTTTCCAAGAAAAAAAGAATGAAACATTTTATCTGACTGTGACCTTAAGAAAAATTATAAGCAGAGGCATTTTACAGGCTTGCTGGAGATGTGAAAAGTTAAGTCACAGGTTAAAAAACAAACCCTAAAGCAAATGAAAAAGTGAGGCAATTATTAACTCCAAGAAAAATAAAAAATTGTACCAAGAAGGAAATGTCAGCATGGTACATTATATGGTGCAGGAGTGAATAATCACAATTAACACAATGAAAATTCTGAATACAGATTAACCCCAAATTACGACTAACATATTGGAAGAACACAGGAGGGAAGCAAGGACAAGGAGAGTTGTAAGAAAGCTAAAATTCTTATGAACCATAATAAAAAAAATTAATAATGTCTAATATTTATGAGATAACAGAATACTCATATTTAGAAATATAAGAAACAGGTTTTTGTTTGAAATGTTTTAGAACTGCTTGACTTTTAAAGCCATGTAAAATACTTTATTTTTAAAAACATGACACAATGCACAAAGGTAAGCACAGTGCCCAGCGTAATATTTGGTAGCTTGTTATTTTGAAAAATGACAAATTTTTTAAAATCTAGGCAGAGGGAAATGGGGGTATATAAAGCCACAGTGAGTTTAATACAAAAAAAGTGTGTGATGTGAAATATTCTACCTTGCTACAAGTTGGCACCAAATTTGGTTTTGCATTGTAAAAGAAAAGAACACAAGGATTCACACCTCCCATACAATAAAAAAACAGACCACCTGAACAGAAGCACAATTATTCCCAGCACTGAGGCAAAAGAAACATATCTCTTATAGGTTCTCCTAAGTAGAATATTGGATTAATATAGCAAATAAAATCTGATTCATTACAGTAAAAATAACAATTTCTTTATATTTCTGTACTATTTCACAATGAACCTAAACATGAACAAACAAAACAGTGTAGCCCATATATGCAGCTCTCTGATGGTTTGATGAAATCCAAGACAAAAAATTTGTCTATCTGGAGAAATGGCTAGAATACCTATCCTTTAGGAAAGTTTCCACAGGTATTTCTCTCAGCTAAATTTTTTGGCCAACTGAGATTTTGCCAATCCACTTCAGAAGTCCAGGTATATATCATATCCAGGACTGGGCTGGCTGGTTAGCTCAGTTGGTTAGAGTGTGGTGCTGATAAGACCAAGGTCCAGGGTTCAGTCCTCATACAGGCCAGCCACTATAAAAAAAAAAAAAAAGTGCTAAGAAAAAAAAGATTGGGTTCTTATGTCTAAAAACTCTTTATAATAAGGGATAAATAAGTAAAAAAGTAAGCAACTCTTCACATGTCCCAACTATGGGGAAAAATTATTTTTTAAAAATAGTTGTACGGTTTATTTTTTTTTGCGGCTGGCTGGTATTGGAATCCCAACCTTTTACGTTTGTGTCTTAACACCATGCTCTAACCAACTGAGCTAACCAGCCAGCGAAAGAAAGTCTATTTCTCGGGCTGGCAAGATCAAAAAAATCCTTCATAAGCAAGCATATAAGAATAAAGATTAAGGATTTGGTTTCCTGTGATATCTTGGATCGAGATCTGAAGCAATGAAGATCGTTGTTGCATTAGAAGGGATCCTCATGCTTTTTGTGATGATTCATCATCTTGATGATTTGTCTGTAACCTGTACTGAATTCTGGCTCCAGGTCCAATTTGGAAACGCACCTTATGTGGATAACCTGATACCCCAGATTTATCAGTTGTATTTAGGAACTGGCTATCCTATAAACAGTGCTGCCTAGTTTCTTTGAGTTCATTTATACTCTTACTTCGTGTGGCATCAGGAAATATGAGCACCCATGGGGCATTCTCATTGAAAGTTCGATTACATATGAACCAGTGTTTTTAAATATCAGAGGTTATACCCCAGCGGCATGCACTATTTAAAGAAAGTTTCCATTCAACTTTGAGCCAAAAGAGAGAATCAGAATAGTGCATCTGAGGAAACATCCCAAGGGCCAGTGGAAAAGAAAAACTCAACATCATCTCAAGTAGAAAATTTGGGGCCCCATAAAGAAGTGTAATTTGGGAACAGAGTAATTTGTCCCTTGTTGGATTATAACATTTTTAACTTTGGTCTTAAATGAAGAAATTTAGCTATAAACTCGTGGTTAAGGCAATCTTACTAACCTTGGTACTCTGACTACCTGAGGACTGCACTACCTCTTAGAAGTTGGATTAATGTGTATGTATGCTATCTTTTGCCTTCCTAATGATGCCTTTTTAAAATGAATTAGCTAGCTCTGCTGTACATGTTCATGAACTCTTTGGGTGAGGAAACAGAAGTTTCTCCAGACTTTTAAATTTGTAATAAAGACATTTTTTAAAACTAAAGTTTTGAATATCTGGAAAAAAAAAAAAAAGAAGATTAACTCTTCCAGTTATGCTATATTTTTATGGAAGGAAGAAAATATACAGTTGAGAAACAGTAACTAATTCTGGCTAAATGAACATAAATATCTTTAGTTGTTTGAAAAGGACACAACAGAAGTAGTATAAAATAACTTTTATTTACATAATTTATATCTATAGAACATAACTGTTTTCTTTAGAACAAGAAAATTTACAAATGACAGATATTGCTTTTTTTGTCTAAGACTTCTTCAAGCAAGATTGCATACATGGTCACTCCCATTTCAAACAACATGGTGGTAAACAGTAGATATCAATACTTTTATCTGTGCCTCAATCATTTACCAACAATTAGGCTTTTAAACCATAATATTGATCACTTGCTAAGACGTAAGTGTTCAGGAGGAAAAGTCAAGAAGTGAATAATCATATCTCCTTTAAGATTTATAAAATAAATTCTTTGTAACACCTTTACATGAATCATACAACAAAGGTCTTTCCACTTTGTAAGGTAAACACACTGATTAAGTTTCTCTTTTTCCAAGACTAATTTTAAGAACATAATATTAGGATAACTTAGCTGACTTGATTCTTTAATACAATGAATGCCCCTGTATTCTCTATACAGTAAGAAATTACATCTTCCATAAAACTTATTTATTGTGGATGAACAAGAGATAGATGTTAACAAAGTTAAAAAATAAATATTACACAGGGATAAATAATACTTCAGTCATGGCAATCTAACACCCAAACTGATTACACTGAGAAAGAAACCTTTTCAGAATATGAGATTTTAAAACTTTTACAAAAGCAGTATTAAAATAGCAATGTCATTTACTACCATGATTATGCCTTATCATATTAAATCAATAAATGCATATTTACAGATTTCCATTCAGATTTATACATCCTCTCCTCTGACAAACTTAAAACTGTAAATTTTTCTATAAGGCAATGAATAAGAAGTGCTCTAATAGCAACCATTTCAATAAATTAGCATTACTGTTATAATTGCTGAGCCATACCTTCTTTTACTAAGGAACTTGAAAATTGGCCACCACTGTTTCAATATACAAACACAATTGTCTAGAATTAAAATATCTTCCCAATTGAAATACTGATCATTTCATAATGCAATCATCAATTTTAACTTTTAGGCACAACTCATAACTTCAATGACAAATAACTCATCCATACACACACAGTCACAGCACCTTCAGATAAGAAAATTACTCTCTAATGTAGGGGTCAAACTAAAAGGCCAATCTAGCCACAGCTCTTCATTCAAGTACTACTGTCTGTGGTTGCTTCTGCAATGAAATGGCAGAGTTGAGTAGCTGCCACAGAGACCATCTGGCCTGCAAGCCCAAAAACATTTTGCAGAAAAAGCTTCCAACTCCTGAACTAATGTATTATCATCCCAAGAGGTTTTTCAAATAAAATCAGAATAAATCTGCTCTTTGAAAAGTTTAATTTGAACCACTAAAGATTTGATTGGAGAGCTGGCCGGTTAGGTCCGTTGGTGAAGGCATTGTGTTATAACACCAAGGTCAAGGGTTCTGATCCCCTTACCGGCCAGCTGCAAAAAAAAAAAAAAAAAAAAAAAATTGCTTGGGTAGATAATAGAATTACATATATCATCAAATCTCAAAATTAAAAACAACTCTTAAATTCATACTGCTGATAATCAGGCTTTATAAATTTTTATTATCTTAGTTTCTGTTCTTAACATCAAAATTATGTTCTGTGCTTAAAGGTCTAAGTATGCCTTGAGCAGAATTTAATGGGAATAAACTATCAAGAAATTGGTTAGGCCAGAAATGATGGTAGGAAAAAAAGGGAAAAAAATTGTTTTTTTAAAAACAAAATATGTGTGTGTTTGTGTGCGTATGTGTAAAGGAGATTGAGATTTTTATGAAAATTTGCCTCATAAATGAAGTTAAAGAGTTTTTTTTTTCCCCCCTCCATGACAATCCTGAGATTACCCAAGAAATAAGAACACCAGGGGCCGGCCCATGGCTCATTTGAGAGAGTGTGGTGCTGATAACACCAAGGCCAAGGGTTTGGATCCCTATATAGGGATGGTCAGTTAGCTCACTTGGGAGAGTGTGGTGCTGACAATGCCAAGTCAAGGGTTAAGATCCCCTTACCAGTCATCTTTAAAAAAAAAAAAAAAAAAAAAACACCAAAAAATTCACAGTACAAAGTCAATATCCTAAACTCTAAGGAAAAATGTATTCAAAACATATACACTATCCAAACATCTTTAGTTATATCATTTAAAATATCTTTAAAATTAAAGAGGAAAAGGAGACAAACACAGATTTGTTAATGCCTTCTTTACCCACAATATGAGGGGTGAAATTAATTAAAACTGAACACCCTTTTAAATAAAAAATTTAAAAATAAATAAGCTCTTTGATATGTCATCTTTATAAATATTAAGTTTAAATACTAGCTCTTCAATTGGGACTAATGTTACATCACCATGAATTAGAAAACTATATTATTTTTCAGTCAGCCAAACAGCTGATAATAGAAAAATTTTCAACATTTACCATACTAAAGTGGAGTTTGTCAATTCACTTTCATATTCTTAGAGGCAACTGAAAAGGCCTTCATCATCCCCTCCAAAAAAACAAACACAAAAACCTCCATAAAAGAAGTTTGCTAAATGTTAAATACAATCAATCTGCGAATATGTCGGCACTGTGATTTATACAGAGACATTTGTCCACAACAGTTCCAAATGTCCACGTGTGCTCAGCACAGGAACAATCAAAAAAGTAAACAAGAGTTGCCATTTCTGTCTGAGAAAGCAGTCTTAATTGCTCAGTATTTCCAAAATGCTGCATCAATCAGAATGAAAGGAACCTCAGTAATGTTTTCCACTGATTATAAAAGCTTCAAATCAAGCTCATTAAATATTTTAAATCAACCTAAAGAAAAATAGACAGTGATGTTTTTTCCTAAATACTGCGTTGTTCATGTAACTGACTCTGGAAATCCCAGGCTTAAAAAAAAAGAGGGAAAAAACAAAAGAATGTTTTATTCTGTTTCATCCACTTCTATGAAGATGTCACTGAAGAAATATTCAGAGACTGTGGTTGGCTCCTCTTCAGGTGCCCGGTTTTGGCCACTTTTACATCTTTCTTTCAGTAAGGGCCGATCACAAGAAACCTAAAAAAGGTAATAAAATAAAAATGCAATACAACATTTATATATTGCTGGTGGTAGTCTAAATTGATATAATCTGTTTGAAAAGCAATATGGCAATAAATATTGAGTTTTAAATATGTTTATACTCACTGACCCAATAGTTTCATTTCTATGCTGTTATATTAAGGAAATAATCCTAAACATTATAGTAAGAGTTTTATGTATAAGATAACCTCTGTAGCATTAGTTGTAATAAAATTGGAAGCAACTAAATATACAGCACTAGACATGAATTGGTAAATTATAGTGTACCCATGAGCCATGACTTTACCCTAATTTCCATGAAAAAAAATTAATAATACAGAAAAATATACCATTGTTAAATCTGTAACAAAAACTTTGAATTACTGGCATAAGAAAAGACACACGGGGCTGGAAGATTAGCTCAGCTGGTTAGAGAGCATGGTGCTGATAATACCAAGGTCCAGGGTTCTATCCCTGTACCAGCCAGTCACAAAAAAAAAAAAAAAAAAAAAAG